CTTCTTTGGACTATACAAAAGACGGTTGAGTAGAGAGATTTAAAAGGTGAAATTTTATATTTTTTGTAACATTCGATTAAAAAAAAAAGAGGTACGATATCAAAATTGGATCCTTATCCAAGAGATCAAAGGAAGAAAAAAAAATGATTTAACTACCATAGCAATTTTGATGTTCTCGTCAAGAAACAGAACCTTTGATCAGACGGACATAGCAATGAACAAGAGTACCTTTTGCTCGGAACGCAACTTTTACTTTTCACATCTGCCACGAGGCTTTGTGGCAAGTGAGCCTCCAGATAAAGTTAATAATCAAGTCCAAATTTGTGAGTTTGAGTTGAGTTCGTCGAACTAATTTTTTTAAAACAAGTTTAAAAAGTTATTTAAATTCAGTTTATTTAGAAAATAAGTTGATTTCAAAATAAGTTGAATCAGTGTTAAGGTCGAATAGCTCGACTATTTTATATATAAATGAATCGAGTTTGACGAACTTGAACTGGATTTTTTAGACTTATTTCTTAAAACGAGTCTGAAAAATTATTCAAGTGCGACTTATTCAAAACAAAAATATAGTCTTATACAAGTCAAATTTAATCGAGTTCGAGTAACTAGGCCGAATTATCAGCCCCACTTCTAGATGTGTCGGAAATCATTACTATACAATAAATATATCAGCAATGGTATATAAGTCACATGAAATTTACAATGTCTTGGCACCTTGACACCTCACTCACATCCAAATATTATTGAAAATTATACATTAGGATATTTAAATTAATTTTTTTGAAATAGCTAGCAAAAATAATGGAAATAAGCAATAAAAGTGAAATGTAGAGTAGTTTTCAAAAAAATTATAAAAATTTATATAATAAAATATAATACAATTCAAATTTTAAAAGATAAATACAATGACTTTTATTTTTCAACGTTGAATTTTTTTAAAATTTTATTTTAAAATTAATCTGACAATTAATATTAATATTCTAAATTTAATAGGGAAAATAAATCCCTAAATTTGTGTTTAGGGTGACTTCTTAAAAGTGTTTTTAGAATTTCTAATTTCTTATAAGTTTTTTTTTTAAAAAAAAGTAATGTTTCAAATCGCCCCCGCCACCCCCCCCCCTCACTATCACCACCACCATTACCACTACCACCCCACAACTATCACCGTCGCCATAACAACCACCACCCACCCCTACTCCACCATCACCGTTGCGGCCACCATACCACCACTATTGCCACTATTCACCATCATTATCATTTCATTCTTATATTTATTATTGCTATCACTATCATTTCACTACCACAATCGTTCACCATCAGCACACATTATCCCTATTGTTGCCCACCACCACCAGTGGTTACCTACCATCGCCGCCAGCCACTGCCACCCAACCCATCACATCTATCACCATCACTCGTCATTGCCCACCACTAGCACTCATTATCATCCACCTTCACTACACTTACCACTACAATCATCATCGCCATTCACCACCATGTATCACACTATTGTCCAGAAATATTCGTCGTCGCCTATCACCACTATTGTCACTATCAACCGCTGCCACTGCCAACCACCATTGTCGTCGGCCATCACTTCCCACACCCACCACCACCATCGTCGTCACCTATGACTATCACTACCATCATTGTCACTCAAAACTCACGGCCACTATCACCATTGTCATCCACAACTGTCATCACCATGACAATCGTTGACACCCATCACAACTATTACTATCTTTCACCACAACCACTATCTCCCACCACCACTACCACCGCTTATTCTCATTACAATCAATATTTAAATTTTTTTTCTCTCTTCTATATTTGTGATTTAATTTTGGGTGTGAATATAAATATTTTATTGTTGACCATTTTTTTATTAATCCATTCCTTCAGGTACGAGAAAAAACTAGTAGTGGGCCGGGGTGGAGCATCCCTATACTTGTTTAAAAAATATTCATCCAACTCCGGTCTACTCCTGTTAGCGGGAGAAATTTTAATCATTGTCCCCATCCTCACCCATAACAATTAATTTCTATGATTTAAAAAAAAATCATTAAAACCTCACAAATAGATTTGCAAAAATGATTAAAACTCATTATATAGCAAATTGATCAAACATAGAATCTTACAAAAATAATATGTATAACAAATGTGTGTTTCATTTAATTATTTTATTTGTTTTATATATATATGACACGTATATATATTACAAGTTTAGCAGAGCAAAGTAGGGCAAGGATGAGTTTCACTCCATTCTCACATTCATCTCCATACGGGTTTATATATGTATCTTCATATACGTTCACATTTCAATACGTATGGTTCACATCTAGTCGAAACGGAATGAATTTGGATAAAGACCAAGTTTTTCTCGGTCTACTGTCATTGTTAGAGGTAAGCAACAAATTTATTTAAACAAAGAGCGAAGGCTATGCAAATCCTTTGCTTTAATTTGAGTGTTGTAAAATTTATAAAAATATGTGTACACATATATCTAACACTAACAGTATTAACCTCCGAATATTCCAAATGGTAATAATTATTTGGTAATTATCATTCCCTCTTCATTGTTAGTTTGGAAGACGATGGAAAATTCATGTGAAACTTCTGTGCACCTAGCCATCTCATGTCATCAATGCAGTATAGCAACGTTAACTCCGAAAAAACATTGTAGTTTTTATGTCATCAATGCAGCCTGGTACTATATAAAGATGTCTCTCCTCCCTCCCCCTTTCCCCTCTCTTCTCTGTCTCTGTCTCTCTCTCTCTCTCTCTATATATATATATACATATATATAATTGCAGAAACCTCATGACTGAGTGGTACAGCAAGGGATGTTTTGCTCTAGTGTAGAAGATCTTGGAAATTCAGCTTCTCTGTTCTCTCTCCCTCAATGCCTGTTCCACTGGGCTGCTTCAATTTTGGTAGCTTCAGGAGGAGACTTTGGGGGCGAGGGCTCAGTAAATGCTGGCTTTCACGAGTAATGGATTCATCGCATTGCCAAACGTAAGTCCATCATTTGTGTGTGTGTGTGTGTATAGGGTAGGGTTGATAATCAAATCGAGTTTTATCATTGAGTTATTCAAATTCGTTTTTTTAAACGAATCTAAAAAATTGTTCAATTTTAACTCACTTACAAAATAAGTCGAACTCGAGTATAATAGTTCAACATAACTTATACATTGATTTAATATGTAAAATTTGATAAACTTTTTAGTAAGTATAGTAGTTCTTACGAATAAGCAAGATGTCTTATACCATTGTTTGTAGTAGTCTATAGGGAGGAGACCGGACTAGGAAAGGAAAAGAGGGTCCCTTATTCACCATAGTGCCTAAATGGCAAGTTTTAAGGTAAATAACACTAATTCAAATATAGAAAGAAACTCCATTTGATTTTTGCTTAATCGTCAAAATCAGGCCAAAAATATGAGTCAGAGTAGGAGTAGGTCATTTTTTTAGATGTACAAACAAAGAAAATTGACAAGTATATTCAACTTGTGAGCTCAAAATCAGGGTTTTCTAATAGTCTCGAATTCTTGTCAAATGCTGAAAATTAATGAAGAGGAAAAAAAATAGAATATGATGATACACGACTTTTGATCCTCTTAATTTCAAGGTTAAAAGACTGGTTTATCAAATTGTCTAACCAAATCAACATGAACAATAGATCATTGAGTCCCTTCAAGAAAAGTGACGACGTTAATTCAATAATCTTTATTAATTTGATAAATAAATTTGACAAATTTACAATAATCTAAGTTAAATCCCGTTTAATCTATTGGGTTTTGTCTAACATCAATAGGACCCATAAAATTGACAAATAAGATTCAATGAACTTAATGGCAAATATTAGAACTTGATCAAAATAGACAAGACTAAAAATTAAAAGGTGGGTCGATGACCCTCAACATAAATGGAAAATTTCTTTATCAAAGATCATAGATTTTTTAAAGGATGGAGTATGTTTAAGTGGGATTTCGCATTGTTAAGTCATCGAGAATGCTACATGGTTGAAGTTGTTGAGATTCTTGAGAAAAATACTTATGGCAATAATATCAAAAAAAATGTGGCTTTATTGATGTAACTTTCTATTAATGAAATATTTTTAGTCTTCAAAGTATGTGTTTAATGGTTATTTAGTTTTTAATATTTTAATTGTGTTTATTTAGTCTTTAAGGTTCTTAATTTGTATTTACGTGGTCCAATTCCAATTTAATTGTGTCTTTTTTATCCCTAAAATTCACAATTCGTATTATTTGGTCTCACGTGAGCAGAAGTGTTAACGATTTTTTAACGGATGATTGAGATTAGACCAAATTGATATAAATTAGGAATTTTAGAAACTAAATAGACATAATTAAAAAATTAGAGATCAAATAAACACTACACGTATTCTTTGGGGACTAAAAATATATTTTACCCTAAACAAAATCACTCATCATGCAAAATTAAATTCAAACACACACTCACAAAAATTCAGACATCTTACATAAATGAAGAGAATTTGGTTGGTCAACAAATCAAAAATCAGATTTTTTCGGTTAATATTTAAGTTATAATTTTTATAATTATGACAGTTCGTTAGAGTTAAACTTTTATTTTCTAGTAGTGAGACCTTAACTTCAACTTTGTCGGTGTAGCGGGATCTTTTCCTAAATAACTATGTGATACTAAGAAAAAATAGACGAATATTCCTTTTACTTGAGGAAAAAAACATATGGCGTATTTTCTATTTTTTCTTCTAGATCAACTACCCAGCGAAAAAAAAAAGGAAAGAAAAGAGAGACAAGGGCAAAGATCTGGTCAAACAAAGCATAGATAGATCAAAACAATCACAACCGTAGATCTCACCTTTGCCCCTTCGCTACGATGTCTTTGGTCGAATGGCTCACGTGGCCGAATATTATTGGTCCAAATCACGTGGCATGAAATGTCATTGGCCGAAACAACTCGATGCCACTCTTGTCAAGATCTATATATCATTCCGAGCACTCACCCCCAAAGCCCTGTCTCTCTTCTCTCCCTCTCTATGACATATAGATCGATCTATCGATCTATCATTTCTCGTTGGAGCTAGGGTTTGATTGTTAAATAAACTCTTCGATCTATTGGATCTCAGATCTTCGGAGTTTTTGTAGTGATTTCTTCATCGATAAGCGTTGATTTAGGTGGTAATAATGGAAGAGACGAAACGGAGGATTTTTATGCAGTATGTGTTGCTGCTTTTGATCGGTTGCTTTGCTTCTCAACTCTACGCGTCTTCTGATGTGGTAAATGCATGAGCTCTTTTTACTTCAGTTTTTTTTTTTTTTCAATTATTGATTTGTAGGTTTGTGTTGATAAAGAAATGCTTTCGGTTTTTTTTTTTTGGTAGAAATTTTACGAATCGTTTGACGAAAAATTTGAGGGGCGATGGATCGTGTCTGAGAAGGAGGAATATACAGGTACGATTTGTTTGGATCTGTGAGTTGTTTGGGTTGATTTCGTGCTCTTGATATTGTGTAGTAATCGCATCCAACTGGTAGTGAAAGCTGAGACTTGTGTCTGCGTTCGAATGTGTAAATGGAATTGGAATACTTTTTTCGTGGCAAATATAAGTCCTGTTTATGTTGATTTGAGGTTTAGATATCAAATTCGGTGGTGAACGAGCACTGTCTATTTAGAGATTAAAAGATCTGAGGTTGATGCGTCTTTGTTGCTTGGTAGAATTCATTGCTTTCTGTACGGTACTGTAGGATGTGAACCCTAAGCAATTTGCTGAGAGTATAGCTGTTTTGTTTAAAACTATGAACTCGTGAATGAAATTAGAGAGTATAAGTTCACAAGATTTATTTTTAATTTACATGCTATTTGGGATATTCAAAGTAATTTTGAAGATAAGGATTTGAAGCTGGTCACCCGCAGCATTTATTTGAATGATTGCTTATTGCAATTTGAGGAAATTCACATGCAGTGGTATTGTTTGCCTTGCTACGTATTTCTGTATGTTATGTAGCTTTAGTGATGACCAGATACAAACTTGGTCTGCTCACGCGAGTTCTTTTGCATGTACTTTTGCTTTGTTGACCAGGTATACGTCGTTTGAAATATAGTTTGACCTTGCTTTAGCTCAGTAGTCCAACCTATTGGTTGTAATTTTTGCAAGTTTATCAGAGCTAAATTCTATGGAGAACCTAGGCCAGGTACCTAGCTTCTTTGTAGTACTCAGATGCCACCCCCCACCCCCACAAAATGAATAAATAAATAAAATTGAAAACTACTCTTTCTTTTTTGTTATTTGGTTGTGTTTCTTTGGTTGAACCAGTCATGAGACAACATGGTCTCGCCTCCAGGGTGGTTGAGCTGAGGATTGATTTGTTAACACATATGCATTGATGTCTATGATGAGCCTGCTTTTGTGCTTGTTGATTGAAAATGCATCTTTTCTCAAGTTGACATGCAGAAATTCCTTAGCTTCCTTGAGGATTCTAATAAATGTTTGCTTTAAGAATGTGATTCAGAGTCTTGTTATTTAGCTCTTTCATATGAAAAAAAATGAATTGAGATTGGAAGTGTCTGCTTACTTTGCTGAAGTGATTATGATGCTGTGAATTTTTTTGTTCATTTTATGAGACTAAGTTTCATTATCTTCAGCTCCTTAAGTAAATCTCCCTGAATTGGATTGGCATGTAAATATTTTAGTGGCATAAATCCCTTCAAAAACATTATATCTACCTTAGCCATATGTTGTCATCAAGAATAACTTTTTGTATGTGAACCTGTTTCGTTAAAATATTTGAAAGTCTATGTATTAATGCACTTTTCATGTGCAGATATCGATTTCAGATCATGTGTGGTTTCTGGGCATATTCTTTCCATATACTGCATGATCCTCACATGATATGAGCCATTTCTCACTTTCTGAGATTTTAGTTTATGATGATCTCGTTCTTTGCTTTAGGTGTATGGAAACATGCAAAGAGTGAGGGACATGATGATTATGGGCTTCTTGTGACTGAAAAGGCTAGGAAGCATGCGATTGTGAAGGAGCTAGACGAACTTGCAGATCCAAAGGATGGAACTGTCGTTCTCCAATATGAAACTCGCCTCCAGAATGGACTTGAATGTGGCGGTGCATATCTGAAATACCTCCGACCACAGGAGGCTGGGTGGATAGCCAAAGCTTTTGACAACGAGTCTCCCTATACTATAATGTTTGGACCTGATAAATGTGGAGCAACAAACAAGGTTCACTTCATTTTGAAGCATAAGAACCCCAAGAGTGGGGAGTACATTGAACATCATCTCAAGTATCCACCATCCGTGCCATCTGATAAACTAACCCATGTGTACACTGCCATTTTAAAACCCGATAATGAGTTGCGGATCTTGATTGATGGGGAAGAGAAGAAGAAGGGTAATTTCCTCTCTGCTGAAGATTTTGAGCCACCACTAGTACCAGCCAAGACGATTCCTGACCCAGATGATAAGAAGCCTGAAGATTGGGATGAGAGGGCAAAAATACCAGACCCAGATGCAAAGAAACCAGATGATTGGGACGAGGATGCCCCTATGGAAATTGAAGATGAGGATGCTGTAAAACCGGAAGGATGGTTAGATGATGAGCCTGAGGAAGTTGATGATCCTGAGGCAGCAAAACCTGAAGATTGGGATGATGAGGAGGATGGTGAATGGGAGGCTCCAAAGATTGACAACCCCAAGTGTGAATCTGCACCTGGTTGTGGCGAGTGGAAGAGGCCAACGAAGAGGAATCCAGCTTACAAGGGAAAATGGCACGCCCCTCTTATTGACAACCCCAGCTACAAGGGTATCTGGAAGCCTCAAGAAATTCCAAACCCCGACTACTTTGAGCTTGAGAAACCAGACTATGAGCCTATTGCTGCCATTGGTATTGAGATTTGGACGATGCAGGATGGTATCCTGTTTGACAATATTTTGATAGCTAGTGATGAGAAAGTTGCAGAATCATACAGGGAGACCAAATGGAAGCCGAAGTTCGAAGTAGAGAAAGAGAAACAGAAGGCTGAGGAACAAGCTGCCGACCTTTCAGATGGTCTCAAAGGGTTCCAGGTAATTTTAATGGTTGAATCTGTTTTTTTTTTCCATCCAATTTTTAATCTGTTTCCTAAATAATTGGGAATAATTATTGCAGAAGAAGGTATTTGACAACCTCTACAAGATTGCAGACGTTCCGTTCTTGAGTGACCACAAGCCTAAGATTTTGGTAAGTCATTAGACTAACATATTTCTAGGGGTGTTCAAATTTCCGTTTAGTCATAATTTCTTACCCTACCCGATCTTATTGGACTGGTAACTGAAAAAATCGGATAGGAATGCAGAAGAGTTTTTAGTCTTCCGATTAAATCGGATAGGAATGCGGAATAGTCATTAATTTATGTATTCCTACCCTACCTTATTCGCATTAATTAATTTATTTATTTTTATATATATAAAAACTAAAAACTCTAATTTCTTAACCATATGGTTTAAACTTAAAACAATTGTTATTGTATTTGTGCAATAATTTTGATGGATTGATGTTTATGTGTTTTTGTGTTTTATTATAATTGTTGTTGTAATTGTTTGAGATTTTAGTGTTATTAGTTTAATGTGTTGTTAAATTAGTGCATGTTATTTAATTAAATTGTTAAAATGATCCAAAAATTAATTTGGATCCGATTTTTTATCCGACTTCCTATCCAATTAAATTGGTCAGCAGTCGGGTAAGAATACAACACTTGATTGAGTAGGGTAGGTTAAGAAAATATTCTTCCGTAAAGTATTTCCTACCCGCATAGTAAAGTGAACACCCCTAGACAAAGTTGTTAGTATCGTACGATACGCGATACGTATCGTACGATACGTTACGATACAGCCCTAAAACGATACGGATCGTAGTTATGTATCGTTTTTGCGTTGTATCGTCCGATACACGATACGTTTTTACGATACGATACGTATCGGTACGAAACGCACGATACGTGCAATTTTTTTTTTTTTTTTTTTTTTTTAAAAACGACGTCTTTTTGTGCTCTGATTTTTTTTAAAAAAAAAACGACAAGTGAAGACTTGTTGGCATCCGATCACAATGATGATGATGATGATGCATTTTCAATTGAAATTGAAGATTGAGTTCAAAATGGATGTTAGAAATTTGGATTAGAAGTCTCTTTGGTGTTTAAAGTTTGAATTAGTGAACTATGGTTGTGAACTTTGCATTATAATAGTAGTGGATTATGTTGATAACTTGAATAGTTGGTGGAGTATTAATGAAATGCTATATTTTTTATGAGTGTATGACTTTTTTTCAAAGGTATATATATTTTTTTATTATTTATTTAAAATTGCATCGTATCTTACGATACACGATACGATACAATATTTGTATCTTACGATACGCCTTCCGATACACGATTTGATAACTATGCCCCTAGATATTTCATATCTATAAATATGGTATATCTTGCAACTTTACTGTAAATGCTCAGGTGCCTGACACAGCCTGTTTTTCTTGCAGGATCTCTTGGAGAAGGCTGAGAAACAAGCAAACTTGACGATTGGCATCCTTATCTCAATCGTGGTGGTTATCTTCTCAGTGTTGTTGAAGCTCATATTTGGTGGCAAGAAGCCAGTGAGTTTTGTATTCGTTTTTAGTTTAAAGAATAAATAACGATCTCTGTCATCTTCCGAGATGCGTACACACTTTTTCTTAGAATGTATTGATCAACTGATGCAGGCAAAAACGGAAGAGATTGAGAAGACAGATGTGGCTGAGGCTTCAAACACTGAAGAAGTCACAGAGGAGAAGGAAGAGAATAATGAGGACACCACGCTGTGCCTCGCCGGAGGAGTACCAGGCGTGACAATTAGGTACGGAGAGAGACAGAAGCACTAGAGGTTACTAGTTTTTTTGGTAGTTGTTGGACCTAGTTGTTTCCCATGCTGAATTTTTACTTGAGACCGCAATTTTTTTTTCATATTAAGGTTTGTTTTGAAGCAATTGTGTATGACAATGTATATGAGATGATATCTGTAGGATATTGATCACCTTGCATGGATTTCAAATTCGGAGAATTTTGAAGTTCATTACTTCTCAAAATGCATGAAAGGAAGAAATTGGATGTAAACTGTTGTCATGGTTGGCTAGCTATTGAAACATCATTTATGCAGCGTAGTTTGACGAATTAGTTCTTTAAGCAATTGCTTTTAATTGACTATGAAGGGGAAAAAATATTGAACGTAGTTGTGATAGTACATCAATGTCACGTGGTTTTACCAATCGATGATAGAATATCAAGTGAATTTATAGAGTTTTGTTTATTTTTAATGCCTATTAATAATTAGTCTATTTAATAAATGTCATGTTAGAATAATAAGATTTATCATTTGTTGTTTTATAATTGGTGTGGTGTCACTGTCACACTTCCATGAGGGGAGACGCTGATTTGGTCGATGACATGTATAACTGAGCAACGCAGAGCTATATGTTAACATGTGAATTGGTAGTGGGTTTTTAATACTGTGGGATTAAAATTCGTGGTGAAGAAATTCGGGAAAAAAAAAAGAAGAGGAAGATAATGACTATGGTGCTAAAAATTAGATCTAATTGAGGAAAAAAAAAAAAAACTATTCAACATATGGACAATTTAAAAGAATACTTTTTTGCGTGACCAGGAAAATTCAAAAAATAGGTATTTATTTTGTTGGCCTAATTTTTGAACAATGGAATTAGCGTTGATATCTGATAAAAAAAAAAAATTAGCCTGATCTTTGCATTGATGAAGTGATTTTCGAACTCAAAATTTAGCAATACTATTACGAGGGGTTGAGGAACCCACCCTCTCTCTCTCTCTCTCTCTCTCTCTCTCTCTCTCTCTCTCTCTCTCTCAAATTAGGTTCTCTAGGATTTCTAATTATGTTTGCCTGAAGTGCATCCGAAGGCCCTTAATAATATGACGAAAGCAGGTGACATGGTCACAAGTCACAACCAACATTTTTGCGCACCAAACATGTTAAGTCTAACTGAAAGACTATTTTTCGACACTAAAAATTACGAGACACTAACATAACAACTCAGTTAAATTAAATTACAACAAAGTAAAAACGTTAGCAATTAATATTAAAATTTTAAGATTGATCCTACAAACTTTATTTTTTAAAAAAAAGATGTAACACAAGGATTTTCCGGACTAAAGGATTTTCCGGAATATCACTTATCTTATTAATACTACTTTTATTAAAACACGCTTAACTACAAATTTTTTTAGTTTAATCGCACCTTCTACCAACTTTTTTTTAGCAACGACACACACATGCATGCGACACTGATAAAGCCATTGCAATGCATCACCATCTCCAGTGAGGTTTTCTGCAATTGGTTTGCTTTAGAAATTTACCTTGCAATTTGCAATTTTTTCTTCTTATTTTTTAGTTTTTTCCATTCAACCACACTCAAATTCAAAGGATTTCCCCATCCTTTGTGCGTCTTTGAGAATTTTACAATAATCGTGGTGGATAAAGGGTAGTAAAGATGAGAATTTAGAGCAATGATGAGGGTGTTGGTTGGATGTGGATTTGGTTTTGTTGGGCACTTACAATGGACTTCTTCCTCACCCCATCTCATTTTTTCAAGCCCCAAATACCTTTTAACAACCATTTCCTCAATTCCTAAATATTCAATGTAAGGATGATACTACATTATCACTGTCACTTGGTGTCATCGTTTAATGAGAAAAAAATCAAATGAACAAAATATAACTCACCTCTATACATAGGAAAGTTATTGCATTACATGGATGCATAATTATTTAGTTGTGAGAAATTCAGTTATCCACATGTTATCTTATTATTGAACAGTTACACCATATAACTGGAGACATGGTGTAACCATCAAATTCAATATTTTCTTCTTCCCACAACCACTTATTTCCAACAATCTCCTCTCTCCATTAACCTTTCTTCCACTCTTCGGTTGGTACCACCGTAAACTTTCCCATACCCGCTTCACCATCTCCCTCATCCCCTTACAACAAAATGACACTCATTTCACCTTCCTTGCGCCCCCCCTCCCCCCATCGTCGCAGTGCACCCTCTTATGCCTCCCACTTTCAGTTTGTGCGACATTATTATTGGTTTTAACTGTATGCTTAGATAAAATGGGTTGAGTGTTATGTTTGTGAAATTCGAGATTAAACTAAAATTGAGGGGGCTTTTGTGAAATTCTGTCCCAAATCCTTTATTTTTTTTAAATTTCCCATTTATGTAGCACAGAAAACCAAATTTCCCATAAAACAAATATATCGCGCGCCAAACGGTAATAAAAACAGAGGGGAGAGAGAGAGAGAAAGAGGGGCAAAAATGTTGATGCTGCGCGTCGTCTTGGATAGACAAGCCTTTTGCCTCTATTGATTCGAGATTTAAAAGCAGGTACATGCGTCTTCCATCTTCATTATCACTCTGTAAGCGATTGTTCCTTTCTCACTCTTCTCTCATCAATCTGGAATTCTATACCACTACGAATCTTTTTTTTTTTTCAAATCGCGATACTGTAAGCAGTTAATTAAGATTGATTCGTCGTGTTGTACTTACTCTCTTTAATGCCAGTCGTTATTGCAATTCACGAATCTCTACGCCATCTTGCTCCGATGAATGATAGGCCACACCCGAAGCCGTTACGTGATCCCATTGGATTGTGTTATCTGCTCAAAACCCAAATTTCTGAGGAGGTATATAGTATTTTGGATGTAATTTGATTTGGTTTTGGGTTTTGACAACTACATACAGGCAATATGTGCTATCTTATTCTCTAATTGACAAGTGAAATGTATGAAATGTGATGATTTCTGATATAATTGGTATTCCAATCAAGAGGAATTCTCAAATCTCCGTGATTTCCACCATGTCGTCAATAGCTTGCTTACTTATCCCATCGCATCTGAACCTTTTTGTTGCAACGGTGATACATACGCCTTTTTGTAAAAAAAATTATAGATTTAAGCATAGATTTATAATTGGAATTAAGAAAAATTGCTATTGAATTTTTTGGTCAAATTAACAATTATTAGAATTATAATATGAGCAAAATAATTATGAGTGTTATAATCTAAAATTTGAAATAAAGCATGCAAACAGTAGTTAGATCATTAAAAATATAACATGCAATTTAAATAAATACAGAAAAAGAATAAACTTGCAATCTATATAAACCAAATAAATTAATTTGGAAAGAGCTGGTTTGCAAGTCCGAGAGGCGTGTAATCACTGTAAAGCAGCTGAGCCTCCCCACGTGAGGGTACTGACGTATACCAGCGACTCCAAGATCCAACGCAGATGCTTGCAGCAGCACTTTATCAATGGTCACGACCACTGAAAGATTGAAGTGAACCTGAGTCGAATCAAGTTGCCCAAAAACAAAATAATAGAAGATAATTGAAAAAGGTAGGCAAAATGTAAAAGAATTGATATGAGCAATTGGATAGTTACTGAAATGAGCAATAGGAAGAAAGCTTGGAGTGTTGATTAGAAAATAGGAAGAAAGCCTGGAGTGTTGATTTTGTTCACCTTTAAAAAATTTCACAAAACCACTTTATATAGCCACTGTGTAACCTACACATGATGGCTTTTAAAACCACTTTAAATAATTGACCGTTTGGCCTTTTCAATGGTTTTTATTGTTTGGCATTGAATAGCCATAAAAACAAATTTAAGGTCAATAATTATTATTCTTTAATGTACACACTAAATAGGACCAAAAAAATTTGCAACTGAAATTTACAATTTAAAAATAATTAAAATGAAAATTTAATAAAAGTTTTAAAAACTTAATTTTATTCTTATATTTTTCACATAAGCATGTGCGTGTGGGTGCGTATGTGTGTGTAAGTGTATGCAGTTAATTCTTTGTTTGTTGAGCAATGAATTTTTGTACTCTGTGGTGAGGTCATGAGAAAGATGTTACTAGAAAAGTGATTCTTATTATCTCCCGTGTAGTTGAGTATCTGGACTGTCCCTAAAAGGACTTTCGTGGTGGGCCAAATGTTTGTGATATTGCCAAAAACATTAGAGTGCCATTGGCACCACTACAACATGAGTTGTGGATTTGGAATTTTAGGATGAATGTGTGGAAAGACCACGCTCGGGTCGAAGTGCTATAGCTGGTGAGCAACCTGATTTTTTTATCAACAAAGGACCAACCTTGTCCAGTAACCATTTTGAGTGAGTGTACGAGATTGAGCGAACCTTACTAGATTTTCACTAAAAAACTAAAAGGATACGTATGAGACGGCTTACATTGATGATTGTAAGTCAAAGAACCGAGACTGCAGCGGTCGCTCGGTAGTAGTGGTGACTACTATCCATTCTACATGGGATGGGCATGGGAAAAAGCAAGTTGGGCGAAGGAGGAGGCTCTATACCGGAGACTTAGGGATTAGTAAGAGACCGGGAAAAGTATGGTTTTAGGAAAAGCTATTAAAATGGCCCTTATGGTCAAAAAGGGAATCAATGGAGCATAGAGCCTTCATTTGTGATTAATTAATTTGTCAATAGATGCTCACTAGGACAGTTTTAGAATTCAAACCATAAGTTTGTTTAAGTAGTTTTTTCTTCTCCCTACTTCCCGTTGCTGGTCGAGTTGATTGTCATTGAAAACAAAATTTGACAAGCTAACCATAGAGTACCCAAATTTATGCAATTGTGTCTTCACATACAAGTCTAGTTGATGTCTGTAAAATAATATAAAGATTCAGTTCAAGAAATCTTCAATTTTGTTTTGCATGCAGTGAACCATTTTGTTTGTTATAACATTCAAATGTAGTCAGTGATAAAACTATGATTCTGCAATTGCGGAGAGAGGAACAAGAAGAAGATTCAGCACATGAATTCTTTATCTGTATTGATCTCATTGATTTACAAAGAGTGTGATACATTCCCTTATGTACACTTCAGTGACATCTTCTGTTAACTAACTAACTTCCCAATTGACATATAATTAGTGAGCTTAATGCCACCTGGAAATATCCTGACAGAACATAACTGACTAATAACATCTTGAGCAATGTGCTATTGGGCTGGATCTGCTAAACATGAGTCTGTCACAGATCGATCAATGTACTGTGACAGAAGTGCTGCTGGATGAGGTATCGTATAAGTAGCACTCTGTATAGTCAGCTCATTCTGTTTGTCCAAAATCTTCTTGCCATATGTTATTCCTTATCTTTACTGTTACTTGGATATTAAATGAGGGCTACATCTATTGCAGTGCAACATATTTGTCATAGAGAACAGTCATGTCCCTTACAAGGGGTTCA